CATCACCCCTCCCCATCACCTCCTCCATCACCCCCTCCATCACCCCTCCCCATCACCTCCTCCATCTCCCCTCTCCAGCACTCCTCTCCATCACCCCTCTCCAGCACTCCTCTCCATCACCCCTCTCCATCACCCCCTCCATCACCCCTCTCCATCTCCCCCTCTCCATCACCCCTCTCCATCACCCCTCTGCATCACCCCTCTCCATCACCACAGCTCAAGGAGTTCCTGCAGGAACCCTGCAGATGTGCAACAAAAAGTCTCCATGATGCTGATGGCAACCCACTGCTCATTCACAGCTGTACATTTATTTTTGTGTCACACAAATACTGTTTATTTCTTTGCATAAGTTTTATTTTTCCTATACTTAACGATCCCTGTGGTTCATCTTGCAGGTTCGGGGGCCAGCTCAGTGCTCAAGCAGGCAGGTTTCTTGACTGGTCTCAGCTGAGTGCTGGGGTGTCTCCATGGGTTTTGTGCCCTCCAAAGATCAAAGTGGCTCAGAGATGGCAATCGTCACCACGACTTAATTCTGCAATGCAATGTCTGAGCCCTGCCACGGCAGGAAATGGGGGCAACCGGCAGACAGGGAAGAAATCCAAAGCAGGAAGCATTGAAGAAGTTAAAAATCAGCAGGGCTGTGGTTTAAAACTAATGTATGTTCAGGGTTTTATGAAAAATAAGGGTTAATGAAAAATGGTGAGAAAGTGTTAATGAACAATTTAACTTGCTGCTCAAACTGGGATTGAGTGAGCCTTGGAAAACAGTGGTATGGGCAAATGCTGATGAGAATCATGTCTGTGACTGAGGACTGTCCTCTCAGCCCTCAGCTCTGTCCATGCAGAAACTGATAGAAGCTGACCCATTGAGATACAATTGAGGTGAAACAGCCAAAAGTGGAGGACAAAGCAGAAATATTCCTTTATACAAACTGGACACCCAACCTTTGAAAGGCATGCTGCCTGGGGTTAAGGAACTGTGTTGATGTGTCAACACCCGTCCAGCCTGAAGCTGTGCTGGCTTCAGTGCCTGCTCTTGTCCCTTGCCAGCTGGATTGGGACATCGCCGCTAGTGTTGGAAGCTGCCAACACAAGACAAGTAGAGCTGGGACCCCCAGAGGTTCCTCACTGATGTGCTGGCATCCCTGTTCCACCATGGGGACCTTGCCTTGCCACGGTGACCCTAAGGGAGTGCAACCCATGACATCTGTGGGCTCTGGCATGTGAGGGTGACACCAGGTGCTCTGGGTGGGTTGCATCCGGGACAACCTGTCCTTCCTGGATATTGTTATTCCTCTGCCCAGGTGGTTGCAGGAACACTCCCCTGGAGAGTGAAGAAAAGGCCATTTGTCACGCACTGAAGCACTGGGCCACCGCAATGATCCCCTGCCTGCACCAGCTCCCGAGACAGCCAAGTGAGGGAAGAATGCTCACAGCAGGTGGGATAGACCCGAAGGCTCCTATGGTGTCAGGGAGCACTAAGGTCTAAAGGGTCAGAAAGAGCTTCTAAGCCCTTCCTGCAGTGAGCCCTTCCTCCTCAGAGCTCTTCTGCCCTCTTTGTGATGTCTTCAGGGGTGCTCTGCCCTACCTCTGGTGTCCACAGAGCTCCACTGCCCTCTTTGTGATATCCTTCATGCTGTTTTTTCTGCCCAGCTCCATCTGAGACCAGGTGAGCCCCTTGTCACTGTCCTCCACAGGTCCCCTCTACATCCCAATGGGTGTCCCTCGGCTGGAAGTTCAGCCCCCCTGCTACAAAAAGGGCTGGACAGGGGCAGAATGGCAGCACAAGCAGAGCCAGGGCATCACACATGGCCACCACTGCCACCTGCATGGGGACCCTGGGCTGCTGCTGTTGCTCTCCCTGGCCCTGCTGGCACCCAGTGATGCTGTGTCCAGGGAGTTAAGGGCAGCCCTGGGCAGTCTGGCAGGGTGAGGGGCTGCACGCCCTGGCTGTGCTGTGTTGTGCCACATTGTCTAACAGGCTGTGCTGTCTCGTTGTGCCCTGCAGTGCCATCCAATGCCATCCCATCCCATCCCATCCCATCCCATCCCATACCATCCCAATGCCATCCCATGGTGCAGGGTCCATGACCACAGGAGCTGCCAGCTCTGTGCTGTCTCAGTGGGTGCTGTTGGCCACCTACCCCTGGTACAGGGGAGTGAGTTCCCAGCACTCTCAATTCTGTCCTACTCTGCCTGGGGAGGGAGAGGTGCTACCCCAGCCGGTGTCCATGTCACCAGTCTCTGGTGCCACGTGGAGAGGCCGTGCTGGCCCCACACATGCAGGAATACGTGTCCCACTGTGTAGGGAGGCTGGAGCAGGGTCTGTGACTCAGCACTGACCAAGGCACCTGTGAAAACTCGCAATTCCCAGCACTGTATATCTGGGAACCCAACAGAAAAGGCAGCAGAC